GGCCAAATTTTGGAGTTTGTCATAGTTGTAGAAGCACGATGCATTACTTCAAGGATTGCCCGACAAAAATTCGATGCCCGTGGTGTCCACGTGGAATCCAAAAGTGTTTTGAGGTTGTGAAGAGCACCGATAATAAGGGGCGATTATTCAAAACTTGTAGTGAGGATTGTGGGTACTTTGACTGGGTTGAAAATGAAGAATCAAGCGGCGAATCTAGTGCCGTTAACGAAGCGGTGACTGTTGTGTCCAACGAGGAAACTGAAGAGTTACCAAGCATGTTTGACTCTCTTGCTCGAATAGCCGACAAAAGAGGCATTGAGATTTCAATGACCGTGACATTTCGTAAGGAAAAAAAACACGCGGATGAGTGTGGGAAAGGAAAGGGCCCGGCACGGCATGCGTAGTAGTTAGTTGTCGAATGAATTGTATTTGTATTGTGTTCGTGTTGTATTATTATTTATTATAGTTCCTTTAGGTGATAAATTATGGTGAATGACATGTTCCTTCAGGTGAATGAAGGTTATATTTTTAGGTGCATAATATTAGATACAAAGCATATTTACAATACTCTTCTTCAATTTAGATGTAACCAGACTTTGCTTCGAAAAAGGACCTTCATGGGTGCACACCGCTTCATGGAGCGTGCTGCAAATGCCAATTAGATATAACGAGAAATTCTAAAGTTGGATTCAAATCTCTCCTCGGCACAAGATAGTGAAGGCAAAACACCCCTCCATTATGCAGCAATTAAAGGCAGAATAAACATAATTGTTGAAATACTTTCTGCAAATATTGGATCTGCTGAGATTATTACATTCAACGAGGAGACAATTCTGCATTTGGCTGTCAAAAATAATCACTTTGAAGTGGTTAAGTACTTACTGGAAAATTTTAATATTTCAAAACTTCTTAACTTGCATGATAGTGATGGGAACACCGTTCTGCACTTGGCTACTGCAGGAAAACTCACTGTTCTGCACTTGGCTACTGCAGGCAGATTTGGCAAGACCACTTGATCACACTGTTTCATAATTGGATTTATTATAACGCATAATATTTGAATGCTTATAAGGATACATTAATAAGGTCTATTGCAGTTGAAATTTTCCATTTATATTACAAGACTAAGAGAGCTTGTATACAAGTAATGCAATTTTCTGCCCTCACTTGATCACAAATAAAAAAATCAATTTAAAATTTGGAAAATCATAATCATTATCCTGTCTCTACCTCATTGCCAAGAAGGAAAGCAATGCTCTTCCTGAAAGTATTTTCATTCACTGCTACAACATTCTCTGTTATCTCCACACCACATATATCATCAGTCCCTTTCCTAATCAATGCATACATTGCACAACTTGGAAAAACATAAATTGAAAGCAAAAACTCGCAAGATTGCCATTCCCTTGAGTAAAGGAAATTACATAAAGGGTAGAAATTACAGTTGTCGACAAAGTCATGGACATAAAGGGTAGAAATTACATAAATATCTTCTTTCTTCATGCAGTTATTCCAGAATTCTCAGTCATCTCTAAATTATCTAGATTGATCCTTCGGAGAGTTTCCAATCGAAGTTAGAGAAGAGTTGAGGAAGCTCAACTCCAGCTATTTGAAAAGTTATACCAGGGCACATTCTTCTTCCTAATCGAAATGGAAGATATTCAATGTTATTTCCCGTGAATTCCATACCAGGGCACATTCTTCTACTAGCTCTTGGCAGAAGGGGAATTGCTGTATGCATCCTCAGAGACCATAGCCCAATCAGTTATTGATGATGATGTATCTATTCCTGCTGAGAACATATCCTATATAATATCCACCAGTCTTGTTAATCAAAATACAATTAGGAGTTAATATTACCTATAGAAGATTAAGTAATAGCCACAAACTTACAGAAATAACAGCTTTAATGTTATCGTAGTTAATAGGAATGCCAAGTTCTCCATTTTCCTTTACTCGCGAAGAATTAACATTAAACCCATATACCTTTATGATCCACCCTTGATCCTGCTACATTGTTTTGATTCTAAACTTTTCACAATGCATTCAAAACTATTGAAAATTCATGAACTCTGCTTTCAGTATTGATTGAACTCCAAAACTGCAGAAAATTCGTCATTACAGAAAATTCTCGAATGCCTTAGTACCCAAAACTGCAGCCACAAACAATAATTCTACAAACCAATCAACACAAACCCATTTTAGCACTTAGAACGAAATATGATCTTTCTCGGCAATTATCCACTTGGTAAAAAGTCTAGCATAAGATGAAGAATGCATACTAAATGAGTTCAAAATGAAATCAAAATATTCACAGTTCAGGACCTTTCCAAAAGAAGGCTCATCAAGTTCGATTGACTTCAAAATTAACCAAATGTTAGCTACAACTAAATAGGCCCGAATGAAATTCAAAATTTTTACGTTCAAGTGCTTGAATGCGCAAAAGTGAAATCCACAAGCTCTTCATCGAAACTCTTGCTGACTGCCACTGTCACCCTATATTGGCGTAACACCCAAAATAAGGCTCATAGCAAACGAAATTAATGAACTGAAAACATTAAACCCAACGACCTCAAAACATACATACCAAAAAGGATTGTGAACATGCGAACGGTGACAGTGATGAATACTGTTGAGAGGTGTTAACATCTGGTGCAGCCCCTTCCACAGTACTATGACTACCTTTCGGTCTCCTGCCTTTTGCTGATGTCGAAGTTGCCTGCACTTACATCAAATTCATATTAGAATAATTAGAGTTAGAGTTCAGTTTAAAATAGGAATGAAATAGAAATAAATACCTTTGCTTTCTTTGACATTAACTCCAGCGGCCCTTTTCGTCGAAGTTTCTTCGGTGCACCCTTTCTTTTCGATGATATGGGGTCTAGTACGTTGACACCCGAATGCTTTTGAGAATCAGTTTCGTGAGAGACTACATGAATGGGATGAGTATCACTACTCGACTTAAGCTCCTCCGCCTGAACTTTTATCCGCTCCATTACTGCACAACTTTGCTTTTCAGCATTCGCAGCAAGGTCAGCCACCTCTGAAAATGCTCGACACATATCCTCGTACCTCAACTGTGCCGGAGTACTAACCAACCCAGCATAGTACACTGCCACCCTCGTGTGTGCTCTACTAATGTCCCTCCTCCATCGTCGCAATATAAACTTATCCGACAATAACTTGACATCATTACGGATCAAAACAGTGACTGCATGCCTACAAAGTATCCCTCGGAACTCAAACAAGTGGCAACTACAAACAATGTCTCGGGTCTCCCTCGTAAATGACACGGAAAAGGTCCTTTTCGTTCGAGCCTCTCCATATAGTAGGACATCCTCCCACACCTCGTAAATTGTGCATTCAGAACCCTCTGAAAAAAACGATGTCACAGTAAACCTTCCCATGAACTCATTCTGAACCTCCCTGAACTTTGATATGGTGTAAACTTTTTGAAATTGCTTTTCCATATCGAAATTCGTTACACACGGTACCATTTGCGCGTACGACTTGAAGTCAGCCTGAAATTCCTTTTCAACCTTGTTCCGCAGTGCTCTTTCATATTGTTCAACAAATTGTTTCAAGGATGTTTTCGAATGAACATATCCATCGAAAAATACTCTCGCTTCGTTGCGTTGTGGACATTCCGGCCCAAAATGTGGTTCTCAAAAAACATGGAACCCAACGGCTTCTGTTTCCAAACAATCCCGCCAACCAATCATTGTCATACAACTTGTACGTATCAATCATCGCTCTCCAACCTTCTTCAAACTCATCAAGGGTCTGCGAATCATACACTAATCCATGTATAGTAGAAAATATCGAAGCCTTGTCATCATGATACCCGAACTTCTCAGGCAACTTCTTCAAGATATGCCACAAACACCACCTGTGCTTCGTATGTGGAAATACAATCTGAATTGCATTCTGCATTGCCTTATCTTGATCAGTAATTATTCCATTTGGTGCTTGACCGTGCATGCACTGCAACCATGTCCGGAATAACCACACAAATGTAGCGGTGTCCTCATTAGCTATAAAGCCACAACCAAGCAGTGTTGATTGTCCGTGATGATTGATGCCAACAAACGGGGCAAACGGCATGTCATACTTATTAGTCAGGTATGTTAGTCAGGTATGTCGTATCAAATGCGACAACATCATCAAACTCTTTATACGCTAGTCTACATCTATTGTCTGCCCAGAATACATTCTTAAGCCGGGACTCATCATCTAAATCCATACTGAAGTAAAATCCTGAGCATCGTGCTTGCATATTAGCAAAATAAGCTTGTATTGCGCCAGCATCTCCTTCCCCGAGCCGTAATCGTTGTACTTGTTCAATATAATTTCGACAATCTTTCTCGATAAATGTCATAGACTCATAACCACCTGCTTCCACCACTGTGGAGTTATAGCTTTTATGCAACGGAATTCCTGCAATATCGTTCACTTCAAGCTTTCGTTTGACATTTGCAGTCAGCTCTCGATTGCATCGATATAGCCTTGACTTCGAAGGGCTCGTTCTGTGATTGTGATCCAGGTGGGCTGTATTTACTCTCCATTTTCCATTACTCAGTAATGATGCCGAGATCCTTGCTTTACAATCAGTTTGACTAGTTGGTTGCTGCTTCAAAGAATTGCTTGTACCATAAATTCTTCTACCCTCACGACTACAAGTAAACGTTACATATCGCACAACACCATCATCCCCCTTTTTTGAATTCCGTTTCCTAACTGGAAAACCCACTTCATAAGCATATTTTTTATAGAACTCAAACATTTCTTTCTCATCATCGAACATCATACCCACCTCGGGCACATTCACACCATCTTTACCAAAGTTATCATTTCCACCTACGTTCTCATTCGTGACACTGTCATTCCTAGTTTCAACCAATAAGTCATGGTGCTGCTCTTCCATAGTTCCTAATCCTGAGATGAAATAAGCATTACAGAGACATTAACGCATAATAGTCCAATAATATTTGTGAACAACAAGCAAGCAGACTGTTAGATAGATCACTGGGGCTAAACACAATCCTGTTTAAATTTTTGTCATGTGCCACAAGTTTGAGAGCTTATAATTCTTACATGTTTTTGTCTTCTGTAATGATATTAATAAATATCTTCTTAGGATAAATCATCAGGGGATTGACTTATATACCCTAAACACAATAAATGAAATAAAAGGAAGAGAAAACCAAATCAATAGAACATTGGCTGTAAATGTACATTAACAAAACATTTTTACCGTTTATTACAGCTTCTTCCCTGCCATTTCGAGACCACGTTTAACTCACAGTACCACTGCAACATTACATCTTGCTATTCAATGTGCAATACCTAGTTAAGCTGCAAGTAAAAGTTTCAACAATACCTTTCCCGGTGTCGGCAACAGAAGCTTCCAACTCAATCTCTCAAAGCAGTCGCGGCTTAATTTGTCGGAGATGAAGAACGAACCGGGAAAATGAGGACTCAACACCGTTGAAGATGAGGGCAAATAGTAAAGAACGAGCTTCAACAGTAACGAACGCGCTTCAGTCGACGAGCTTCAGACCACGACCAAAACTTTCCTGGTTCATCACGACCGAAATGAAGTGGAGCTTAAGATTACGAGCCCCGGCAAATTGGAAGTGAAGCTTCGGTAAACTGTAATGAGGTTCGAATATTGGTCAGAGATGGACAAGAGACCGGCAAAAGGACGACCTTCGGTCGACGCCGGCGAGTTGGGCGATTCTGAGGGATGAAGTCGGCCGTCGAGGTGGAGGGAATTTTGAGACTAATTTTGTGGTTCTCCCTCGTTTTGTTTGGCCCTAGTGTTTTTGTTTTTTTGATTTTCAATTTTTGTCAATTGCCACGTCAGCCAATTCGAAATCCTGTGAAAAACCTGTGAAACTCTCCTGTACCTGAAGTATAATCCATACTAATAAAGCGTGATACCAAATTACTTGCGTGAAAAGATGTACACGCATTATCCACATAAGCATACGTGTTTGGATAATCTCTTATATACACCATATGTAGATTTTTCTTGCTTTGTCGACCTTGCACTCACATACATATACTTACACCTGGGGACCTGTATGACAAAATTATTCAAAAAGCTTCAAAGCAGATTGGTGCTACATGGCCTTTTTGCATTTATTCCACCAAGAACTCGGGCATTGCATTAGCGAAGCTAAAAACTTCTTTCTTCCTTGTACTAGAAATTTGTAAGCAGAAGGAAAAATAAATCTTGCTAACTAAATTTGCTAGAATTTCGTGCTGATAATGTATTATAAATTAAAAATAAAAAGTGAGAACAAACTAAAGAAGCTAATAAAATTGTGTATTTTATTAAAAATCAAATTCGCATATTTATATGGAAGAATTAAGGTTACAAGTACAACAATTATGATGACTAGGGTTGGAGGGGTATAAACGTCATTCACAAAATATTACTATATTTACAACAATAACAATAATATATTTTTTAGTTTTAGCTTACTAATTTAAAGTAAATATAAATCCATGTTTGTTAAATAAATTTATTATTTTAATTTATTTCATGCCTTCAAAAACTAACAATTGATATGATGAAAATAATTTACTTTGTTCAAATTGAGGGCTATGATTTGTTAATGAAAATAATGAAATAAACTATTAAATATTTAGTTCCTGTTTGATTCCCATTTTTGAGATAACATGCATTATGGAATAGTGATTTTTTGGAGACTGTGTGGTTTAAGAGTAAGAAAAAGTTTTTGAAATATGTGTATAATTATTTTATAGAAAAACGTGTGGTTTAAAATGAATTTTGAAAAAATGCATTTTTGAGAAATAGAGCTCAAACAAGGGCAGATTTTACAATAAAACTGGCAAAAGTCAACTCATCCTATATCGAAAGTTCAATGAAAAATTAAAGAGTGGGTTTCCTTTAAAAAGGCAATTCACTTGTGAATTGAAATCTAGATTGGGCTGTCAGCAAGGGCAAATATGGGTCCATTTGATTTTGGTTCAAATAGAATCAAAACAAACAATGAATCATTGTTTTTTTAAGATATGGAACCAAATTGGAATTGAACTACTCAATTCTAGTTTGGTTTGATTCTAGTTCAATTACTGATTAATGGTTCTCAATTTTAAGAACCAAAACTTTTAAAATTTTTTTTTATTTTTTTTAATTTTTTTTTTTTTTTTTTTGTAGAATCAAACCGAACCGCTAGATTTGATTTGATTTGGTTCCGATTTGGTTTTATCATTTTGTTTGCCCTTACATGCTAGTACAATACATGGGCCAATCAATGTAGTTAAATATCTTGTGAAGTATAAAATCATTTTATTTTAATATTGTCAGATTTTTTGATTTCCGATAAACCGACCGGTCTAAGGAATTTTTCAATGGTTTTTATTTTTCCAGTTATTGTATGATAATTGGACCGGATTTGAGGTTGGTTCGCGATTTTTTGGGTTGAATTGGCCGGTACAATCCGATTTTTATAACATTGGTAATTATTTTATCTTAGATTTCCCACTTTTATTGAAATTTATTTGGATGGTAATCGATGCCAATTTTGCTCTTCTGACAATGCTAGTTTAGTTAATGAATTGACCTAAAAACAATGGATTTTATCTTTAGTCTGCTGGCGAATAGAGGCTTTTGAGTAAAGATTTTCGAGTCCAACTTAATGTAAGTTTCAAAATAACACAAACTAATCTATCTTTGTAAATCTTAGGTATTTGAATTCGCGATCACTTTGGACCCACCACAAACTAGATTAAGAAATAGACCTAATGAAAAATATCAACTGCCTCAAAAAGATCAAATTAGGACCTCATCTAACAAGCTTGACCAAGTGCCATCGTCACTTAAGAACTTCACTATTGCAACCTTGAAAGGACGTCACCTAATGACATCACAACCATTCTGGCAACCATTCCCACAGAAGATAAATGTCACCTCTGCGTTAACACCTTTCCCTCCATCATCCAGAAATGAGCAATAATTGCCCATGGAGCAGATAATCATTACTTAGGCAACAGCTACGCCCTATGTAGAATGATGTCTTGCTCAGTTGAACTCAATAACCAAAAACCCTTCAATCAGGACGATGACACACATTTCAAGATTTCGCTATAGTTTAAGGTTGAACTCCAACCTTAAGGGTCCCCATCGTCCCGTCTTTAGAGTTTTGTGAGAGAGGTAAATTGCGGGATGTGCTACAGCAGACCAAGGAACAAGAGCTGTCTGTATACTGCGCCTACAAGGAGTCCAATTCCATATTTCAGGAATCGAATCCCACACTGCGGCTGCCAGCAAGGCGTGAGATAACCTCACTCCTATTCTTTGTACTACTAAGCTATGCCCCGGGAGGCTAAGATTGCACTATACTTGATATGACAATAGGCGGCTAATTAATTGTTATAAGGCCTATAAATAAGGGAAATGGTGCCCTCAAAGGGTAAAAAACTTAGAAAAATCCTTTGTAACACACTTAAAAATTGTTATAAATGGGAATCACTCCTTGTTTTACAAATTTCAGTAATTACTTTACAAAAATCATTTTAAATTGATCTGAACTCATCACGGCATTTTAAGTAATCAGAAATAAACGAATCGAGTTCAATCTCAAATATAGTCCATCCGACGAAGCAAACTTAATCAACCTAAATTTGAGCTCATGTTAGTTGGTAAATTATGATAATTGCTTATAACACAATTGACCAAAAAATGTGGATTTAGAACAACAGGATATGATTATTACATAGGAAAAAAAAAGGAAAAATAGGAAAGAAAAAAGTCCCTTTATTTTGGAAATTTAAGTCCGCCTCCTGTCATCCTTCCTCTATGAGAGGGAGAAACTAATTGATGTATTTATTGGATCCGTCGAGATTGACGTGGCTCAAACTCGGAGCTTCCACCTTCACAGGGTGACACTTTGACCAATTGAACTATAATCCAAGAAAGGTAAATTATCTAACTGAAAATTTAAAGTAAAATATCTGTAAATTAATTTTATTTAAATTTATTACACCATTTTGCAACTACTCTTTACACGATGACAAGAAAATACATATATTTCTTTCCCCTATTGTGGCAAGTGCATGATCCTCTTATAAAGAGGAAGGCCCCACCATACCCACAAGCAAAACATATTGTAGTGGAAACATTTAACAACATTATATCCCCATAATGGTCACCCAATCGGGCAATTCTTTGAACCGTCATATCCAAATGCCAAATACCATGTGGGGGTGCAAGATTAAATGAAATAATTGAATGTAAAATAATTTCATGAGAATCTTTTGCATTGGACAACTATGATTGAATATTCTTTTCAATGATCATGAGATTTTTAATTAGATTCAAATACAATAACACATGGATTATTATTATTTTCAAATGCTAGGACTAGAATGCTCATTATGAAATACATATTATCAACACTGCTTGATATGGATTTCCAATAAGAGAATTATGGATCACGTACGATATCTTCTCACGACCTTTTGCATTTTGAATCAAATCTTCAATCGACACTAAACTTGTACTTATACTACGGTTTTCATCTCAAGTCTTGCCACTAAACTCTATCAAAAACAATATTTATAACACTTTTATCTCATTATTATTTTTAAATTGCATGTTCCCATCTTCTTCACGTTGGAAAGCCCGAGTATTGACAAGCATTATCGATAGCTATAGTAAGGTCTCTTCCCCTACTCTATCAATCACAAATTTCGAGTCATAATGTAGTTGTTTGGCTATTTTTTTTAATATTAAAACTGGAGTTTGATATTTGAAAAGAAGTATCAATACACTTTTTTTTTTCTTTTCAAAAACATCATTTATATTTTCCTTTAATTTTTAATTCTAAAATCTAATAAGATTACAAATTTAATTATCTACAACAAGCCACTACTTACAGATCGATTTGCATTAATATAGTATTGATCCTCTTTTTGTAATTCCATGCTATTTTATTTATTAATTAAAAGGCAGAGATTTAGGGTTTATTCGGTATTGATTATGAGAATTGATTTTTTGACTGTTAGAAAGAAAAGTGAATCTCACGTGTGAGTAAAGAAGTAAAAAATGAAGACTAAAATAATGAAATAACAGTCAAAAGATTAATTTTTTAGAATGGAAAATTGCTATCAAATTTAACAAAACAAAAAATATACTTTTAAAGTGAAACAAATTTAAATTTCATTTTGTCTTTCTTACATGCAAGCTGCAAACTGGGGCCTACATATTCAATTTCTAAAGTTTGAAACCACATTCTGGTCCTGTGTGGGAGAAGCATTAAATAATATCCTCTTGAGGAATTTTTTATTGTATTCCTATCTTACCCCTCTTTGGAATTTTTATGCCCTATGTCTCTTTCCACTCACTGGAAACGAGAATAATAGACGCGCCATTGAGTTATATCGTACACCACAGACAGAACAACATTAGTTGCACAGCATTTCGAGGCAGGTTCCGATCTGGTGCATGAGGTGTAGGTACACCAGCTCAATCAAAGTTCAGATAGTAATTGTCTAACTGAATAATTTCTCATAATTTTATTTAAACATAAGTAAATAAAGAAGTAAGCTATTAACTAAACAAAATATGTCCTTTAAAGGAGTGATTACATTTTAACATGGAATGATTGGTTTGATGTACAAAGACCGTTTCCACCATATCACAACCTTTTCCCAGTTCATATTATAAAACATTTCTCTCTCTGTCTCTCCGCTTCTCGCTGTCTCATACTGCAGAATTTTTTTCCGTGCAGCAGAAACACTGACCGAAGAAGAAACAGTAACAAAATTCAGAACCCAATAAAATCAACCAGAAAACCCTAAACTCGCTTGGAAAAAACCTTGCTTGCGATTTCCATGGAGTCTCTGTCTAGACCTCCTCACAGAAGAAAACACTCCACCTCCACAGCAAATGCCTTCTCGTCCTTTTCCTCGAAAAACCCTTACGATGATGTTCTGTTATCGAGCGGCGGCGGAGGGCGGGGTTCGTTGGGGACGAAGCTTGGAGTTCAGGAGTACGCTGAGATTTTCTCCGGGTCGCAGCGCGAGTCGTCCATTCCGGTTCTCGATCTTTCTGGCCTGGAAGAACGTGCCGGGTCGGGTGATTTTCGGAGCTCCAAGCTTGACTACTCCAATATTTTTGGTGGCTTTAGGGATGAGGATGTAGCTGTACCGTACGAACAGTTGTTTGCTGGAGGAAAAATAAGAAAAACCTCTTCTGATAAACCAAGGTGAGTTTTTTTGGGCTGTTAACCATTGTTTTTATTTATTTATTTTTTTTGGTTTTCTAATTTGGTTATTTATGCAGTGATTGAAAATGTGATTTTGAGTTTCATTCTTGTTGCTGTTGTCGATTAGACATATATTTTGAGATATTTTTCCGGGTTATGGTGATGAATATCTGGGGTTTTGCAATGTTTGATTTGCTAAGAATTGCATAGTCAGAAATGAAAAGAAAAAATCCGACTTTTGTAGCTTAGATGAAGCTGCCATTTTTTCGTAGAATAATATAGGTAATAGTTTGATTCTCGCATTTTCTCTCGGATGCTTATGCCGTTATTTTAATCTTTCTCTCAAAGTTCCTTTTAGGAAAGAATAGCCCTGTTAATCTTTAGTTTTTCAAAACCTCTTATCAACAATTACCAATTGGTTGCTGCTTGATTACTTTAGTAAATTTGGGCTGATATTGGTAATCATAATTCCATTTAGTTTATGGTTCTTGGATGACAACAGATAAATTTATGCTCGATTTTTCTTACGCCCTCTGGCCCTCTTATAAGGTCAATGAGTTTAGGATTGATTTTGCGCGAAAGGGCATATTTAAATTTCTGCGAAGTTCCTTTTTTTCCTGGCAAGAGTGGATTTCTTTAATCTGTAGTGTTTAAAAATTTATAGCTAGAAAATTTGCATCTTGATTGCGCTTATTCAATCATTTCTGTACTTTTACTAATTGATTGAATTAAAGTTTTTCCTTAATTGACAGCTGCACACCGTCTTAGATTTGTGCCGTTGATTGCACAGCTGGACAAATATTTTGTCGTTACTTTGTTTGCCAGCTGATTCAAATTATTGATACGTGGCATTGACTTGGAAAATGATTTATGCTTTGAGTTGTTGCATTTTCCTTATGATCAAGCTTTGTTTAGTTCCACATGTTGCTTGCTTAATTTCCTGTTAATTAGGCCGTCTGTCCTGTTTCATGAAATGAGTAGCTTCTCTTGTTTCGTACATTGATAAACATTCTTCATTTCTTGTCTGTTCTTAAATATCAAAGGCCTAGTATGACCACATAGAACTGTTATGTATTTTTTGGCAAGTTTATCATATTTTGGTTGCATAATCATAAATATGTTTTTGTTCCGGTGACACAAGTGGATTGAGTTGTTAGTGTCAGACTACTGTCCAAAAAAGATTCTTTGGAATCTGAAGTCTTCTACTATAATGAATCCTTTGCAACGCTGTGCTATAGAACCTTGAATTATCTTATTTCTATTTGTCTTATTTATGAAACTTGGGGATTCTCACTTTAGTCAAAATATTATGCCAGAACATTTTCTATTTAATGAGAGTGATTCGTTTTCGACCAAAATTGGTGTTTTCTTATTGGTATAGATCTTCCAGGAATTTTTGCACACATTTTCATTTTTGCTAAATCTGACTTTTCAGACTCCATCCTATTCTTCCCACACGCACACACAAAGGGGGTGTGTTCGTGTGTGTGATGTAACTTAGATTAAGACTATATTCGTTTTTAAGTTATTCGGATTCCTTCCATGTGCAACATTCACATATTGTATCTTTCATGAGGTATGTAACTTGTAATGTCATAACATAAATGATGTAATTTTTTAGATTCAAATTGTTTATTTAGTAGCCATGCGTTCCTGATTTAAAGTCGAGCTTTTTGGTATGGAGGAACTTAGATGTTGTTCCTGAATCTTCTATCATGTTTTCCACAGGACTCCAGCAAATAAAGGATCTCCTCTACGAGAGTCACATCGTTTAAATTCTTCTGGAAATAATGAAGGTTTCCCAGTTGAGGCACTCGATAAATCTATTGATAGCACAAAGCAGCAGTTTAACCTGTCATTCAATAAGTCCGGGCAACAAAGTAGTGATGGGTCAAATGGGAAAATGCATGTAGCAGAACTCCATGCTGTTCCTGGATTTACTTCTTTTGTTGATGGAACTGCACATCTGCATAAGACAGAAGGCAATAGGCCTGCACCTTCACTGAAACGTGAAGTTAGTCGTGCCTGGAGTTTCAGTGCTGAAGTTGAACAAAATCATGGCGGGAAATCTGAGGCACATATCTTAAATAATCAAATTTCTGACAGTGCTGTCAGAGGTAAAGTTGAATCAAGTTTGGATGAATCACATATCACTGATAAACCGCTTAACAAAGAGAAAATTAATTTCAAATCACACGATTCAAAAGTCTTGCCACCTTCGAGTTTTCAATCGAATCTAAATGAGCAGAAGGCCCACAGGCGAACAAGGTCATCAAGTTTTGGCTCTAAAGCTGATGCTTCAGAAAATATTGATGGTGACTCTTCACTTCCTTTTTTTGATGAGGAACTGGATGTTAATTCAGTTGCTGCAGCATCTGCAGCAGTGTTAAAGAAAGCAATTGAGCAGGCTCAAGAAAGTATAAGAATCGCTAAAGAGATAATGGAGAGGAGAAGGGAATGCTTTCGAGATGGTTCTAAACCAAGTCCTAGGGGCCGCTTGAAACTTAAGAAGGATAAGAAGGAAAAAAGAATTGTTCCTGACACAAACATTTCAAAAGAGAACAATGCTCCTACAAAAACATATGAAAGCCTAGATTCTGTATTGCCGGCATTTGAGGCAGATAGGAAATTTGCTCCATCCGCTGGACAAAAAGAGCTAATTTTTAATGCTGGTAAAATTGATGAGGATAAGATTCAGGAAAATGTTGAAGTAGCTGAAGAATATGCTGGGGCAAGAAGTTCTCCGGGGTTGAAAATCAATGCAGAGGGTAAAACATTAACTTTAGGTTCTGTACAGATGAACAATAGCAATAACTCTGTGCGTTCGATGAATGAACTTGTATCTGATATTAAGGAGATAGAAACAGTTGAAGAAATTTTGGACCAGACTGAGGTAGTTTTTGATCTTAAGGGAGGACAAGCAAATGTTGATGAGCACGGGAATTCGAGCAGAGTTCTTGATGCTTCCCAACGGGTGCCTGAACTGGAGGAGATTGTGGATAAAGCTGGAGAACATCCGATAATCAGCAAGGATGATGCCGAGATAGAGGAGAAACGAAATATTTTTGATGAAAATGGGAAGTGTACTGAGAAAGTTGAAGCGCATCAGGAAATTGGTAATGGGGAATTGCCTAAGTTGCAGAAGTTGGTGTTTGACAATCCACTAAATGAAACACGGAATCCGACCGAGAAGGAAAAGGAAAAAGAAGAAGATCCGAGACAAGAACAAATGGAGAAGAAAGTGGGGAGTGTTTCAAACTGGAAAGAAAAATACCACCAACCTGGGAAGAGTTATGAGGAAGAAGAAATTGCTTCAAGGAAGGAAGACCCTAATTCATGGTTCGGAACTGAAGAGGAGCCAAAAGAGGCCCTTGAGAAAGAAATCGAAGAGAGGGAACAGAAAGTCTTCCAAGAGGCAGGTGCAGTAGAAAAAAGGTTAGGTGGAGATAATGAACCAGATATTGATGAGAAGAAACCTAATTGTGCTCATGATGGAGATGAGCTAGAGATACGAGGAGAACATGAGCGCGAAGTAATTGGAGAGAGACATGCAGAGAATTCCGAAAATGAAACAACTGAGATGAGGCAGATGAATGAAAATAAATATGCTGAAGATCAGAAAATTGCAGCCTCTCTGGAGGCTGAAGAAATGAACAGCACACTAGGTGGAACTGGCAAACGTGAGGATAATCATGATATATATGACTTTCAGGAGGCTATTCTTGAGAAGAATTTTGATGCCTCTGTTGATGCATGTGATAGTGGTTCAAGCACCATAGTCACTCAGTTTCAGGAAGCCTGCACTGTTGAATTAAATGATAACAGTGTAGATGAAAATCAACGAGAAGTTGAAAGTGAGAAAGAGAAAGGCAGCACAACGAGAGTGACTGAAACATCTTCTTCAATTGAAAAGAATGAGAAACAAGAACCAGTTGAAGAAGCATTCCAACAGGAGGACAATGAAATGCTCAAGGCAGCTTCCTTGATTCGAAGTGCCTCTGAAATGAATTTTGTCGGTAGCAAACTGCACAATGCCTTTGAAGATCTTTCTTCTGATGGCATTACTGAAAATTCCAGTGACACAGATGTGAGCAATGAAGAAAAGTTGCCAAAGTATGGGGATGCTTTCAGAACATCTGACCAAATCCACAATGCAGCTCAAGAGGAGAATGCTAATGGAAACTACATGCAAGATTTCACTGAGTTCCATGCTTCTGGTGAAAAAACGACGGAACTTGATCTCACAGATGTAAAAGTTCCAGTGGAACAAACTTCAGAGATTGATGAAGGATCTGATTCAATTTCCAGTCTTGAAAAAATAGATGAATTGTCAGATCATGAAACCCAAACATTTGCAGAAAGTGTGAAGGATGAGGCCTTTAGTAAGGAAGAAGGTACAGATGATCTTGAAATGACTTGCAATGAGGTGCAATACGTTGAGGAACAAAATGAAGGGGAATCTTCTGTACCTAGTGAGGCCAAACAGAATGAAGAATCCCTGGAAACTGAAAGTGGGATGAAAACAGGCCAAAACGATGAGAACAAATTCTCTACTGTGGAAGATGGAGATGCCAAAGAAAATGTTCCTGAAGTTCAGAAGAAAGATTGCCAGCAAAGAATTGAAGCTATTAAGAGGAAAAGAGAGCAGGAAAAAGAAAGAATAGCTGTCGAGAGAGCAATTCGAGAAGCTCGTGAAAGGGCATTTGCTGAAGCTCGAGAAAGGGCAGAAAGGGCTGCCTTGGAAAGAGCAGCAGCCGAAGCTCGGCAAAGAGCTATGGCAGAGGCACGAGAGAAGCTTGGGAAAGCCTCTGCATCGACTAAACAATCTGCCGATAAAGCCATCAGTGAGTCCAAGCTCAGAACTGAACGTGCTGCAGTAGAGAGAGCTACAGCAGAGGCTCGTGAACGTGCTCTAGAGAAAGCATTCTCACAGAAAACTCCCAATGAGGCAAAAACACAGGCTGACAAATTTTCTGGTGTCTCCAGAAATAATGCATTAAAACATAGCTATTCTTCATCGGTGAGTATCAGATTATTTGTTTATTGCGCAGGCTACAGCATTTAATCACATGCTAGAAGAGTGATAGATTGAGTTTCCCACAGGACCTGGAGAAATTTGATGGAAATAATAATGAATCAGCTCAAAGGCGTAAAGCAAGATTAGAGAGGCATCAGAGGATAATGGAGCGAGCGGTACACATTCCTTACAGTTGTTTATGCAACTTTTTGATTTTTCAATTGCTAGCCTTAACCAGCTTATTATCTTTTTATGTTCAAACAGGCAAAAGCACTTGCAGAGAAGAATATGCGAGATCTTCTTGCTCAGAAAGAGCAAGCTGAGAGAAATGTAATATTTCTTCCATCAAATTTTAAGTTATCAATCCTGGTGCTCTGTACATCTTTTCAACTTATTATTAATTTTTAAATGCAGAGATTAGCAGAATCTCTTGATGCTGACATTAAGAGATGGGCGACTGGAAAGGAGGGGAACTTGCGTGCACTGCTTTCGACTCTGCAATATGTATGCATTGACTCCCCCATTTATTTCACAACTTCAGTTTTTCTGCTTTATTTTGTCATTAAGGAGTATTTTGAAAGTGATAAGTACGAAAACTAGCTATTCTGAATTAGATTAGCCACTCATATTCAGCTTTAACTTATTATCCTCTGCAGATCCTTGGCCCAGACAGTGGTTGGCAACCAATTCCCCTAACTGAAATCGTAACAACTCCTGCTGTGAAGAAAGCTTACAGAAAGGCAACCCTTTATGTACATCCAGACAAATTGCAGCAAAAAGGAGCTAGCATTCAACAAAAATACATATGCGAAAAGGTTTTCGATCTTCTTAAGGTATGCTTTATTTTCTCTTGAACTATAAAACCGGTTTCTTTTTTGGGGCCTAGCAACATCAAATATCGCGTTTCAGAGTTTAATGCCTTACCGTCATCATAAGAAAACCTTTTCTTTGTTAGTAATGACTAGAGCTCCTAGAAGATAGCCTCATAGAGATCTTTGAAGACCACTGGGCTGCCACTCGAAATTTAGCTCTTGTTTGACCCCATTTTTTTAATCAAAATGCAGTCTTTAACTTCATTTCAATCACATTTTTTAATAAAACAATATTACATGTAAAGCTAATTTATTTATTTATTTTAATTTTTTAACCACACATTTTCCGTCATAACACCATTTCAAAATGCACTTAAAAAAAGAAAAAAAGAAGAAGCTTGAACAACCCCCTTAAAGTGTTGCATTATAAGTGAAGCCCTCCCATTCTCTCTCTCTCTCTTTACTTTTTTTTTTTTTTTTTTTTTTTTTTTTTTGGGGTTGAAATGGCAAAAAACATATTCCTTTTGGCGACTCTTATGCTAATTTTTATGTTTTATTTCATAAATTCTTGTCCTGTCAACCTCAGGCAGCATGGAACAGATTCAACTCAGAGGAGAGGTGAATAACATGCAATGCAGAGGAAATAGCAACTGTGAACATTCTGTGATTGCATTTAGTTCCTTGTTTTCTATTTAGAGGGAGGGGGCTTGTAGATACAATTGACGAAACTGAAAATTTAGCTGTAGGAAATTGCCTATTTTCGTGGTAGAATGATGTACTATAACCTGTGACATGTTCAGAATTTAATTATTGCTTGCCCCCATTAAATTAAATTTTATTTTTTTCTCTTTATTTTCGATCACACAGTGTTCCATAAAATAATATGATATCTAAACAATTTGTTTTTTTTTTAACCACTCATTCTTCCAAAAAAAAGAAGAAGAATTAGAAGTAGAAGAAGAAGAAGAAGACTATTCCATCTATTTTAATTTGAAAAAATAGGGAAATTTTCTATTGGAATTGCCTATTTATGAACTGCAGAGTTTTTCTAAATGGTAGTGTAGGTAGTGATGATGCCTCAATTCTTACGAGTTTAGGTGTAAAATATATATTTTTATTTTTAGTTATTATATGACCATCAAATAAAGAAAAAAATACATATAATAAAAAAACTAGAATTATATATATTACAATTACTTTTTTTTAAGAATAATTATTTAATGATTTCGAACATTTTGACAATTTTGAAGGTTAAAAAAACCTAGACAATTCAAAGTTGAAAGCTCAAGATCCTTATTGAGTTAAATGAGCTCGAGAAATTGTCCACACTAATTTATGTGGAAATTACAGATTCTAATAAATTAAAAATTTCCATTTCATAAATCATAGGCAAACTTTAATCTTTAAAAAATCAATTTTTTTTTTAATTATACAAATTTCATCTCAAAACCCCAATCAATATATTTTTCTCTCCATCTCCCTCTCTCTCTCCAGAGTCTTATTACCGGCACTTTTCCTCCTCTCCCTTCTTCTCTCTTCCTTAGTCTCTATCTTCTTTCCCCCTCCTAGATTATGGAACCACCCTCATCAATGGCAGCAAGGTGCGACGCAGAATTTGCTTCGTTGCCTCAATTTTTTGGGATTTTTTTTTATTCCATCTATTCTACGGTGGTCGATAGTGGTGGTGCTGGTGGTTGTGGCGGGTGTGGGATGACATGAGAGATGTGATTTGGTGGTGGTTATTATAGATTGGAGCTGAAGAAGAGAATGGGTATTTATAGTTGTTGATGGCAGTGGCAATGATGATGGTGTTTGTGTGTTGGTGGTGTTATGGTAGTGGCTAGGGGTGGGCGGATCTGGTGGTTGAGGGCGTGTGCAGCGTCGGGCATTCACAACGCTCGTGTGTGGTAATTTTGTGGTTTGAGTTACTCTGTTGATGGAGACTAATGAAGTGGCAAGAGATTTTGGACGGCGACGACGGTAGATGGTGGTGGTCATAGCAGTGGGTGCGGTGGTGAAGGTGAGATGTTGGTGGCCCTGGCTATTGAGATGGATGTGTTGATTTGTTTGAGACAGTGGTGTTGTTGTCGGGTGGTGGCAGTTCTAGCGGTGATGTGGCAGTGGTGCTATCAGAGACAGTGGTTGTCTCACGTGTTGGTGGTGGTCACGGATGATTTGGTTGATTGTGACCATTAAATTGATTAATCTGTAATTAATAAATAATATGTGACCAATAAAAAAGATAAATTATGACCAAGATCTAATGTGTGACAAAAAAATTAATAATTTGTGCCTACTAATAAGTTGTGGAGACGACGAAGAGATGGTGGTCGTAAGTGTTGGTGGTGGTCACAAATTATTTGGTTGACTGTGACCATTGAATTTGTTAATATGTGACCAATAAATAATATGTAACCAATTAAAAAGATAAATTGTGATTGAAAAATAATGTGTGACTTGAAAATTGTTAATCTGTTACTGATAATTTAATAATTTGTGACTGTATAATAAGTTGTGATTTGTAACCAATAGATAAATCGTGACTTATAAATTTTTCAATTTGAAACCTATAAAATTTTTGAATTGTGACCGTAAAATAATTTGTGACATAATATCTCTAATTTATGACAAAAAAAATAATAAGTGACGAATTAAATCGTTAATTTGTGACCAAATTATATAAATATGTGACTTAAAAATATATTTAACTACTAAATTAATTAATTAATTAAATCATATTTTTTTTTGCAAATCTGAATTTTGAAATTTGAAACTTATTTTCTTATTTTTGAAATTTACCATACTTAATCTCTTATTTATGAAAATTTCCCCTAATTTATTGCTTAGAGTCTCAAGAGTAACATTAATTATTAGGTCTGAGAAATGGTTCTTTAAAAAACGTTAGAAAAAGTTGTTTGTCTTTCGCCGTTTAGATCTACATTAGGTGTTCAAAAGAAAAGTTGATACTTTTTTCGTACATTGTCACTATACGAGACATTCTGAAAACACTTCATGTTCAGATAATACTTTTTCACGTCTTTTTATAACAATGCGTATAAATTTCTAATTTGACGTCTAGTCGAGATGCTCTAGACGTAGAGTAGGGTAGTCCTAAATTACTAAATTTTTGTTATCTTGCTTAAGGTTGAATTTCTACAATGAAACACCATTATAATTGAATTGGTAGAACCTTCAAAAAAAATTTGATTATTTTTTAATTGAGTGAACGATTCTAACAGAAATATGAGGTCATTAATGGGTCCAAACTTTTCCTAATGTATATTTCTTCACTCAAGGCCTAAACTTTTTGCAGAAAAGACCAATGCTCTTGTTTGGGAGCCATTTTTCTGCCAAAATGCATTTTTATATCACATCAAGTGGGCCACCATTTATCATACACTTGATAATAATGTTTGATATTTATGGCATTTTTCCTTTTTCTACCCATGTTTTGTTATTTGTGCTTTTTTTCTTTTTTAATTTGACAGCTTGGCATCCGATTTGAATATTCAAAGGGCAAATATGAAATTTTAGCCCTTGTTTGAGCCACATTATTGGAATGAAAATATATTTTTGAATAATGTATTGATGAAAAATGTGTGGTTAAAAGATAAGGAAAAATTTTGAATTTGCGTGTAATATTATTTTATTGAAAAATGTGTGATTAAAATGATGTTAAATTACTGTTAAAGAAAGTACTTTTCTAAAAAACGTCGCTCAAACAGGGCCTTATAAATTAAAAAATTTAATCTTGTGCAGCTATTTGTCAAATATAATTGTATAACATAATTTACAACGGTTACTTTTCTTCTAAAAAATAAGTAAAAATGGCTCCCAAACAAGAAATGTATAAAATAATTTGTAACGATTGCTTTTGGTGATACTACAGCCATGACCCCCTCGTTCTGAGCAAAAGCCAACCAAAATCGATCGGTTTGAATTGGTTTTTAAGTTCAATTGCGTTAGGCCGAGTTATGAATTAAAACCCAATCAATTCACGATGAGTAGAAAAATTTAATACCTAAAATGAAAAAACTTAAATAGATACAATGGTGGTAACAAGAGAAGGATTTAGTATGTACAAACATCCTCTCATTATTATTATTATTATTATTTTTATATATATTTAAAGGTTGATTGATGTGAATACTATGTATAAATGCAAAATAATTTGACCGATAAAGTAAAAAATAAGAATGTAAAAATGAAATGAATAAATTAAAAAATATATATATAAAAAGAAAAAACTCTATAGTTTCAAATTATGTTAAAAATAACGGAGATTTTCAAGTGATTTCAAACTTTAAAAATTGCTCAAATTCAACAAAAAATAATCAAATCGAACTTGAATTGAACCCAAACCCAAGCCCAAACCAACCAACCTAACCCAAATTATCCCAAGCTTGATCCCACCACCTACCTTTTATTACAAATTTTTAAATTTTATCCATTGTCAACAAATTTATTTTATTCTAATAAATTTGAGGTTGGTATTATGGGTCATTTTCCTTCTCAATTGAAGGATTTACTGTGACTGAACTATTTATAATAAAAAATAAAAATGTTTTTTTTTTTTTTTTTTTTTATCTACCATCATCGATCGTTGTAGGTGAAACTTTATCCAGGTTTGGGTGTTAAGACTTAGGCTAACAGTTGTTGTAAGCAGCTTCTGTTCTACATGCTCACGCTTCAAAAATGGTGACAACAGATTTTCATGTGACCAGTTGGGATTTCTTGATGAAATATAATTGACAAAACAAAAATAAACAAGAATCTCAAAGCATAATTGAATAATAAAGACAAGAACACCAAAAATGTTGACCCTATTTAGCCAATCGGCCTAGCCTTGAGGGCTTAGGGACTGGAGCCCGTTCCACCTGTGTAAATTTGCCATCCAAAAGAGAGTATCGTGTATATCAAATCACTCAGAAAACCACTTTTGATCAACAATCCACATGGATCCTCAAAACCACAACAAAACCTTTCGAATAATCAACCCTGACCAATCATGACTCAAAAAATAAATAAATCACATGCTTAACCAAGCCTAGAGTTACTGTAGCAGGATAGTTTTTCAAGAATCGATCTCAAACAAGGATTAAATAGAGAAGACTTTAACCAAAAGGGAAGAAGAAGAAGATCGCATACAGACAAAAAACTAGAGAGAAAAATTGAAGAGACCAAGAATGAAAAGCACATAAAAGCTACAATGAACCGACAGCCAAGTCAATTGGATTGATAATCCAAGAATGAATCTATCTGATCAAATGGTTCACAACCCTTCTCAACTAGAATAATCCTTGCCACAACCAATAAACCATTTGGAAGTTGTCACGTAGGCCATCCATAATCCAAATAATTAGCCAAAGCAACTTTCAAACATAGCACCCTTTTAATAGTGTTTTAAGAAACACATACATTCAATCTTCACCTTAATTCTCAATAATACTCAACTCTCTATGGTCTCTAAATTGCAAATGGAAGCCAGTCCATTATCATTGCCTAGTAGCTGCAATTTTTTTTTTTTTTTTACTTTTATCTTTTTTTTTTTTTTTGGCAATGAAAACAAATTCTAAGAATTTTTGTAAAAATATATTTCCCTTTAATTGGAAATTTTCAAGTAAAACAAAGTCAAACGAACACCAAAAGATAAATGATTTTCTTAATTTATTTTTTTTTGGCAATGAAAACAAATTTCATGCCCAATACCAGTAAAATATATTCAATGCAATTTTTTTTTTTTTTAAACTTGTATCAATACATATTAAAGTCAAGCAGGATTTAAATTTTCCTACAGATAAAACTTTTGTTCCCATGTCTGAGAGATTTTTATCAATATGAACTTTAAACAAATTAA